ATAAACTTGTGTAATTGTACAAGTCTAAATAGTGTTAATGAGAAGGAATTTTTTACAATTTATCAAAACCGGGTTAGCAGATGCATTTCAGCATCAAAGAGAAAGTTTAACAGTCAAGTTGAAATCAACTAGATTGAATGCAATTTGCAAGTACCTGGTTTCTTAATTACCATGCAGGCACCTCTTGGTTAAAGAAAACCAGATGTGGGTTTCCATTGGATGTTAGCTAATTTATAGAAGGATGTACAGTTTACTAATCCCTACTACTTCAAGTCTTCATCATCAACTAGGATCAAATACATCTATTTATAGTCCTACGCTTGCAGTAGCTGAGAAAAAAAGGGATGTTTACTTGGAATTTTTAAAACCACCAAGAGGGTTAATGAAATTATACGTGACTGTAGTAAGTCTTGGTGCAGTTCAGTGTGAACTACACACTCGAGGAATTTCTTTATCATATGGTTGACACGTCTTGACAGCGCATGCACAGAGCTGTCTAAAAACATGTATACCAAGACGTGAAATGTCTAATATATAAAGTCAGGGATTGAATTAACTAACTTATTTTATCATATACAAATTCAGGGATTGAACTAACTTATTTTATCAGGGTGGCCAAAAGAACTAAATCAGATTTTTTTTCAGATCCTTCCAGTTATGTTTTTTTGCTCAGTTTTACAGCCGAATACAGACTGTTTCCCCTTGCTAAAAAGTGCCCTATTTTCCCAAAATGACAAAAAAATGACAGAATATATTTCCCTACTCCAATACAAATAATGCTAGATTTTCCCTATTCATAAAGGAACAGGCTGTTGTAAAAAAAGTAACAAAAAACACTGTGTTCTTCTCAACTTCAATTAATAATGATCATTGGTCCGTCCAAAATTGAAGAAATAGCATATATATATATATATAAGGTATTTTTTATCTGGATTTGGCTATCATTAATTTTTCGATTCACATCATCTCGTAAATTTTGCCTGGCTTAATTGTCATCATAATTAATCATTCACTGGTAATGTTATCTTCAGTACAGAAAGGACAGGATCCCATAAAGTAACTATGATAGACCATCAAGCTGTGCCACATGCATTGTTATACAATATAGTTACATTTTAAGGACAGTAAAAGGTGTTGTAAAATGTTTAATATATGGACCATTTATAGTTTTGTGGCTTGTTTTGTACCGGCCCACCACTTGGTATATCAATCTCCCTAATGTAAAGTAGTTAGCACTGTGAAATCAAGACTTAAAAGAATTATCATAACATGTGCCTCAATTAATGTTTTAAGGGAGTCTCTTATATGGGCACACAAAAGGCTGAAATAAAAATTCAGATCATTTTCCATTCCATAGCACTTCAGAGTTCCCAGAAACCCCCAAATGAGGGTTTTTCACCCCCACAACATGGACAGTTGGTTGTACCCCCAGTTTACATTAATTGCCCTATGAAACTAAGTACCTAGGCGTACAAAATCTTGAAAATGTATCAAATATACCCCCAAATCTAAAATTCAGCGGTAAGCCTGCACTTGGTCATCTGGTTGGTTTTGTTAGACACACAATTTCCTCCACTGAAATAGTACTAGACACAAGTGTACTAAATTGTCATGGAACATTATCTGCTGACACAGAGATCAATGCAATCGTTCACAATTATATAATTGTTTATTCAAGGAAAATTCAACTTGGTAACTGAAATAAAAGGAGTAGGTTTTACTGTGATGCATAACTATAACCCTGGTTTATACAGGGCTTTTTTACCTTCATTTTACAATAGCCTGTTGCTCTATGAATTGGGAAAATAAAGCATTAATTTTATTGAAATTGGGAAAATATTCTTATTTTTTCTATCTTCATTTTGGGAAAATAAAGCACTATTTTGCTATGAGAAGCAACCTGTATTTTGCTGTAAAATTGTTATTTTTTAAATTGATATGCAACAGAACTGGACTGGGATGATCGATCGTCAGCGACCAGGAAGCTCAATTAGTAGTCTAGAGCATCCGTCTAGAGTTCGGAGTGTCCTGGGTTCAAATCCCGTGCTGGCCATGCATTTTTCTGCTACTGTTACATTTGGTGCCCAACGAAATTTACCCATGGAAGGTGGTATACGGTCTTGTGTGCCTTCGGGGTCGAAGACTTTGTTAAAGGAGGGAGGAATGTAGTGGAACTGGACTGGGTCGATCGCATGCGACCAGGTAGCTCAATTGGTTAGAGCGTCCGTCTAAGAGTTCGGAGGGTCCCAGGTTTCGAACCCCGGTCTGGCTGTGCATTTTGCCGCTCCTGTTACAGATATATATATATACTGATGTCACAGAATATTTCTGTTGATTTAAATTGCCATAGAACTCATGATCACAAACTGTCAGACTAAGGACAATGTGTAGTCTCATTCAGCCAGACAATCCAAACTCTGCTTTGCAAGTCTGGCCATGATGTATACTAATTATAGAAATAAATTTACTTTTTAGTTTCTTTTTGATATTCTAGGCCCAAAATGACCTACCTGTGTTGAGTGGCTAATTCTTCTTAACAAACAATCAAACAAACAAATATTCCAAACAGAAAACTCAACTTCTAACCTGATAAGGGAAGGACAATTTTGAAAATATGTTCACGCAACCTCATAACAAAGCTTCAAAACCACAGACTCCATGCCCCAATAGGTTGTGCATGTTGTGACTAAGGTACTGTAAATTTGCTGACAATCTTTCCCTGGGCAAAGTACAAGTATATATGTATACATATAATAAATTATTATTGCTAAATATCTGCCATATAAACAAATTGCTAAAACCAAAGTAATAGTGCCATGTTATGCTATTTTTTGTGATAAATCCAATCAAATTATCTGTCTCTGTAGCCTCACAGAGCTATCAAATGGATGGTTGACTGAGAATAAAGATTTGACCATACCTCTGCTTATAATTAGCTTCTAAGGATAAACAATAAACATTAAAGCTTGACTGAATTTTACTACACAATTACATACTAAATTCTACCATGTCGGTATCGTTACAACACTTTCCATGCGCAAATAATTAACCAAGGACTATTTTCCAACAATTTAAACCATGCACGTGTAATAGTCTTTGAATAACCTCATCTGTATTGTAAAAGTAAACAAAAAATGTCTGTAAGACATAAATGCCCCCACTCATGGATGGGACGGGAAAAGACGGACATGGGCAACACTATATGCACACACCCCCCCCCCCCCTCCCCCATTTTACTACAATGTAAGTGTGTAGCTTGTTGTGGATTAATATATTTAGCTTTGTCAAGTGATGGTACTGGTGTGCATGTACATATCAAACATTTCCACACACATCTGTGTTGAACATTATGACCACTGGAACAACATTATATAATATTATTATAACAATTTGAGGTTCTTATAAACCGCTTTATCACAACGCAGTTCGTAGGTCATCTCAAAATGGTTCACAAACTATTATCCGTGGTAATAGGGCCTTTGCAACCAGCCAATACCTTTCTCAACTCCCTGGGGAGCATATACAGCCAGTATGACCACTTGATCAATGTCCAAAAATTAAAAAAAATCAGCTAGGTGTGACATGTAGCAAATGTTTGCATGCGTAAATGATAAGACAAATTTCAATAATTGTTTGATTCCGATTACATTGTCTTGTAATGGCATTAGAATAGTTATGAAACAGGACCAGTGGCCAGGATGGTACAATTATTTAAATTTATGCAGTATGAGAAATATAATTATTATATATCTAAATAGAGAAAAATTCTCCTTGACATCTCAAGAAAGAAAAGTATATTTCAGTAAGGAAAAGATGAAAATGGTGAGCAATCTTTGTATTTCATCTTGAGCCAAAATAACAGCATTCTGCTGAATATTCTATCTGCTGTCTATGGTGTGCAATAAGTTTTATTTCATTTTCTGTCATCCTTCAAGTTGTGCCAATGAATGTTTTCTCAAGGAGGATAACTCTCAGATACTCTGACAGATGCATGTATACACTGAAGCATATGATAAGAACTTGTCAAGTCAAATTCCATTTCATTGCTGTCAGAAAAGTTAACAAATACTTGATAAAATCAAAGAATATTGAACACTTAAGCTTTCAATGCATTGTTTTGAACACTTCAACCAGCATAATGATTTGGTGCAAACGTTAATGTCTAACTATAAGATTGAAATTCAGATGATACAAACAGGATTAAACAGATAGTTGGTCCTGGGGGGGGGGGACCAAAACCTGACGCGGGATACAGCACCTTTTTCTGTCCCTTTAACAGGATAGCCCCGCAATGATGAAGAGCAGAGATATATATGTTACATATTGTACAGTGTACATATATGTATATGTGTCTATCAATCCAGTGATTCCAGTTGGGTACATTTGTATATATGGCCTGTGTTTATATATTGTATTACATTTTTGTGGTATATTTTCCGTTCATTTCATTTTGTTAAATCATTTTTTATCAAAAGTTCTTTAACATTTCAATGAGAAGTACCTTGTTAGCTACCAAAACACCAGGATGCTGATTTTTTTTAGAATTTGCCTAAAAATGTACTATACAAAATTACTTCACGTTAGAAATAACTGTCATTGTAGTTTTATATTTTCCATACTTTCTTCACCAGTAAATAAATAAAAATCCCAAGATAGATAATAGGATTTGAATCATAGCATATATAACAAATTTATTTTAACTTCTTTATTTATTAAGTGATAGTGTCTAACTACCTACTTACTTTACCTTTGTCTGTTACCCGGTTCAGACACCAATATATAGTATGCACAATATAGGTATTACATATCGATGACTAACAATGAAAGTAAACGACAAACTGTTAGTGACTAGTGATAAACAGTATTATTCTACATCAAGAAAGTCAAAACTTCAGTATCGAAATCCCCGCCACTGTCAAGTATGATGCGAACATAAGTTGGTACTGAAACTGAGCAAGCAGTGAAATACGATGGAGTGGAAATGGAAAATCCATACTCACCAGAGGCGCTACAATCAGCGCACACCTCTGTCACCGACCGAACTTTGCCTCTGGACATGAAAACTATTGTGTGGATACAATAGTCCCCAGGAAAAAGGACAAAATATATGTTATTTTCGTCTCTCCCTCTTCCGCTCAGCCAAAGTAGTTTTTTTCAGTCTTTCAGAGTTGATATTTATTTTCGTATTCAAACAAAATTATTATTGTTCCAGAAAAATCATATATAAAACATTTTTCTCTATAACTTTTAAATGACTTGCATCTTTCTAATCCAAAAACCAAAGTATAGCAAGATGTTTTAGCCCTGAGATAACTGACCTAGTTTTAGTTTCGTATTTTTTACGTTGTCGTAAACTCGTTTTAACATTGATTGTTTTTCAAATTATATCATGGTTAATATTGATATAAATATTATAAAAGGAATATCAATTTTACCTTATCTAGAATTAATATCAATTAACAACTATTTTCTTTTACGACTATCAGATTACAACACGGAAGAGGCTCCCATCAACAAATGAGTCAGACGCACATCTCGTTTCCTAGTGTCAAAATGTTGTAGGTTTTTAACCGGCCTAGAAAATGTCGTCTACGGCATTGCAAGAAGAGTTTCCCCTTCATTGGCTTGTTTGGGATAACAAGTACCAGGATTTGGATAGAGAGCTCGCTCGTGATGTTGTAAGTTACCATAAAAAATTATCGATTTCAGTCGGATTTTTATTTGACATGAAGTTGTAAATATGTGTCCTGGTCATGCTGTGTATTGTAACGTGTACGTACTTACAGATGTGTGACCCCCGTTAACACAACTGTTGACACTGTGGTGACATTATACGGACAATTAAGTGTATTGTCTATCACCACTATCGCTGCAGTTTTAGTCGACTTGATCTTTGACCATTTCTTTTTATACTGATGATGTAATTTATAACTTGTTGTATAATTTGATCATCATTTATTCATCATCCTTTTTGACAGACGATTACCACATTTAGGTGTAAACAGCATACCACAGTGTAGGTAGCCAAACAGCTTTGTTATGATTACGATTAATGAAAAGAAAGGTTTAACATGATGTGATCACTTACAAAACATGAAGTTCAGTACTTTGTTATTTAGGTATCAAGTGTTATGTATTAAGTGGTGGTTCCAGCCACTGTTCAGTATCATAACTTGAAATAATTTAAGTAAAATTGACTTGGTTGGTAGTCCTTTAAGTGGTACTTTGCTGGGTAAGCTTAGATATGGAAGGTCCCGAGTCTGAATTGAAATCTGGCCAGTTTCCTTCCTGTTAGAGCAACAGTATATTTACAATGACAAATTGGTGACCAACTTTGTATTATATACAGTACAGTAATGACAAGAAAAATTAAGGATGGAGTTATAATTTTAATTGATGATATATATGTGTGGCAGATTTTAGTTGTAAATAGGATTAAGGTCGCCTTAGAGCTAGAGGGATTTTCCCTTCAGCTCAGTGGTAAAGCATCCAACTAGGAACCTAGGGATCGTGGGTTTGATCCCTGTTGGAAGCACACTATTCTCTTTCCTGTTACAAATGTTGTCCATGGCTTTCCCTGTGGTGACAGGGAGTTAGAACCTTGGTTGTGGTGTTCGAGGGTTAACACATTTAAAAAGGGGGGAATAGTGTGGCAGATTTTAATTGTACATAGGATTAAGGTCGTCTTCTAGTTTCGAGCTAGAGGGAATTTCCCTTTAGCTCAGTGGTAGAGCATCCGTCTAGGAACTTAGGGATCATGGGTTTGACTTGTTACATATATGAATATTTACATTGAATTAATTTTATAATTAGATATTACGAATTGCTGTACATCCCATCAATAAAACCTTAATACTTACATGGAATGTTTATGCTTTGTTGTCAGTAGATACAAAATTCAGGAAGTTGTCCCACTGACACTATAAGTGTTGAACAAGAATATAGTTTTTAATTAGCAAAATAATTATCAAAAGCATTATTATTTATAGTTAATGATTATCATCTTGATGTAAAATTTGCTTCTTTAAATCAAATCTCAAAGTAGGAAGCCATATATTGCAGATGTATCATCAGGTACTTAGTAAAGTATAAAATACATAATTTAATTAGCAAGGAAAAATGTTATTAATGATATTCAATATATGCATTTGTGTTGAAAATACAATACTATATGTGTGGTGGTGTAGATTTTTTATTTGCGGTGTATGTTTACAAATATAAGTAATATTAATGAAAATGTGTTAAAATGTCTTCCCATCTCCAGAAATTATGTACAGAAAGTAGGACATTATTGTCACTAGTACCATACAGGTGTTTGACTGTAGTGATGCTGTCAGCTTGTTGACTCAACATTAGATGCCACACCCAACTAATTCTGTATCAGTATTTGCAATCGCAGCTAGAACTATGACAATTTTTGTCGTAACATCCACACAAAAAAAGCGTAATAACGAAACCTGGTTACTAGATTGAAAACATAGTGTATAAAAAAACTTGAAACCCAGACACTTAAAGACGCAGCTTTAAATTTTGACACTGATAAAGGATAGCACCATGCATATGCTATTGGTAGTGTTTCTTGGTTTCAGATTCTGTACAAGGTAGCAGGTCACATGCAAAGGAGCCATTAGGGNTCCAAGTGTGTGGTTGTAATTGTAATGTCAGTTGTATATCACAATGATAGCAATATATTCAGCCAGTGTATTTTTTCACCAATTTCGTAATTATGCCAAAAGTTTGAATTTTCCTACCATGTAAATTATATTTTTAAGTCTCACGTAAGTTTTTTAAAGATATTACTGAAATCCCCTACTAGTAAGTGTAGTCAGTGGAACACTATGATAGTGAAATTCTGCACTAGACAGCATTATAATTAATGAGCCTATGATAGTGTGCTTCACTGGTCATTTGTCTGATGAAGGTGACAGAGTACATACCGTACTAGTCATAGAAACGTCAATAGAAACACTTATTGGTTGTGTAACAAGAAAAAATTCATAATGCACTCAAGGGCTATCATTTAGGAGCCAGGATGGTGAGGTTGGAAAACGAGAATAGTGAACTTCTTCTCTAAGGTTATGAAATAGGAGCCTATCATGGGGTGAAATTAAAAAAATACACATTTGTAAAGCTTGTATAGAATAATAGGAATTGTTCAAGTCCTATTCGTACAAAAAATCTCCCACATCAGTAGAAATGCATGCCGTCGGATGGCACTAAGAAACATTTAAGGTCACATGTAGAAGGTGAAATGCATCATGTTTGTGAAGTTGTATGTTTTGATGATAAGAAAGCAACCTGATGTATAAATGTAAGAATGTTGATGGTATGTGCTTCCACATGGTTTGATTTGCACCTTTCTGCTGTGGACTGGCGCCCCTGTAGTATAGGCTGAAGCACAACTGTACATGTAGCATATACAACCCTCAACTTGGAGGCTTCAAGATAAAATAGTCATATTAATGCATGCTGTTCACTTCTCATTTCTAAATAGGTTAAATGGTTAAAATAGTTTTAAAAGGACTTTCGGTCTGTTCCGTTTTATTGTAAGTTCGATGAAGTCAGAATGATCGACCCTAACATGTAAATAAATCACAAAGGGTTAATTACGTACAACTGACATGAAAAGTGTCATGGATTCAAGCCAAAATTTACTGCTTCTGATTATCTTTATGTGAAAATCTTCCAGGTTTTAGAAACTCAAACAAAAAACGTATTTGTGTTAAATTAATTGATATCAGATGGCATTTGCTTGTCAACTGTATGTACCAGTGACTTGACAAATGAAAAAAGATTTTACCACTGACCAACAATGTAATACCATCAACAAATAAAGGGATTTGTGATACTCCCTTAACCATTGAGTCAATAAATATTTAATTATACCATGTTGAAGTAATTAAATGACCTCACAGCTTTTAAAGATGGAGCTATTTAAAAAAAAAAAAGAGAGTTATGCCCCTTTTACATATATTTATTAGCCAAATCTTGTCCGTACAAATCAATCCTTTTTGCAGTTTTAATCCAAAGTTTGTTAAAAAATTCCAGATATTATCACCAAAATCACTTTGAAGTGTAATGCATATCACCTCATTACAAAATGCTTAGCTGTAATCCTACCTTCCAGCACGAGCAGACATATGTCTTAAAGCTAGAGAGTCGGCTACTTTTCTACTGTATATAGGCCCTTAACCTTTATTTTTCCTATGAAATTTGTATTATTTCATTGAAAAACATTGGTAGCTTACACTACAGGCCTTCTTTAAAGAGCAAGAGCATATTTTTCTAGTATCTTTGCAGATTTTTTTTGTTAATATAAGGAATATCAGGACTGATTAAGCAAGCATCTACTGTGGTAAGCTCCCTGGGGATGCCACCCTCATGGCAGCAGAGATGTTTTGACGGAGAAGGAAATTGTGTAAAATACAAAAAAAATGGTATCAGTCTTTGCTTTATATTTGTGTATTTACAACCTTTGAATCTCCCAATGGGAGCCTGCAACCCACTATATGAACATCACCAGCATTTCATTCGAATATGAAAGCAAAAACTCTCATGACGTAACACATGGTTTACCTTTGACGTCATAGATTAACCTTGTTCAATGAGAGTCTTGTCGCTTCGCTTCAGATAACATGGAGAATACCCCGGCGTCAAACACTCATATGACTACAGTTGATTATTGGTGCCAACTTTATTTTGATAGGGCTGTTGCCAATGTCATTTAAAGGATGACGCATTTACAAAACGCAGTAAATAAATAAATAAATAATTTAAGAACAAATAAATTAAACTAAACAATTGATCTATAGTAAAAATATGAATATATGGATTGAACGGCGTTTCTATTTAATTTTCATGCCAGTTTGAATGCAAATCAGTTACATCCATATCAAACATGAAGCCCTAGCAGGCTTCATGCAATATGGCAGTAGCTAAGTCAGAGAAATGGTAAAATAATTGAAACTCTTCTTTATTGGAGGTAGTACATCACTGATTGCTGAGACCATCTACCTTAATTATGATAAGATATTGATCTTATACAGGTCTGGCAGCTTGAGCCCTTCTACTAAAATTTTACTCCATTTTATAAACAAAATGAGAGGCTGAGGTGTTTATTTGATCAACTACAGTATATATACATTTAACAGTATGAACAAATAGGATATCTTTCCTTGACAAACCACTTTAAAAAATCAGTCACTAATGTACATGTACTGGTGACCTTTTTTGCGATACACTGTGTGGTTGTTTATGCACACAATTCAGAGTACGTCATGTCCCTTGTGTACAGGAAATTGCACACATAGTCTTGTGTTATACGTTATACCAGGTACCATGTACTGCTTATGTACTACGTGTCTCTAAAACCTCCGATATTTCATGATTTGCTATAAACTCTGTGAGTACTTGCTGACTAGGCTTGTAATGTAATAAGCTTAGACAGGGAGGGATTTTGGTTTGATGTTATCACATCCATTACTCAATGATGTTTACTAATGTAATTGAGATGGCTTCCATCTATATTAACAGATAGATTTAGAATATCGTGTTTGTTGAGTGCGACATGTTATATGGATAAAATTATTGTCAGTGGACAGACCATGAAAATCAGAAACAATTTCCAATCAATACCGATTATTTGCATTAGGTAATTTATTTTGCTTTTCAGCAAATATCTTAATGCTCAACAGGGTATAAATCACCAGGATTTTAACATTAATCAGATAACAAATTGTGTTTCTATTTAAAAAAAAAAAAAAAAAGTTTTTGGTTGGATGTTGATAAGTTTTATAACTTCTACAGTGTATCAAATGTTTGTTTTTATTGGAAGGCAATGATTTTTTTTTAATTTGCTACAGTATTTAGCCTTGTAAAAATCAAAATCAAAACACTGTACATGCCAAGAGCAAGACCTTAGATATCCACTGACTCAAATATTATTCCTACTTGCCACATAAAAAATGTAATACAACAGAAAAAATGAATAAAAAATACAAAACAAGAATTTTAGCCCACCGTCACCAGTTCACATATAACCTTTCATCCATGGTCTGTCATCGGTCCATAAATAATTCTTTTACTTGTTATCACTTTTTTCTGTGGGAGTAAATGCCTAAGATCTTACATAAATTTCTATGTGTTGTTTGGTCTTGGCCCTTTGTTTGGGTTGTTTTATTTTGAGACTGATCAGGAGAATAAGATGTCAGCCGTTGTGGATTTCCACAGGTAAAGATATGTTACAATCACTTTTCCTCAAGAAGTGCATGACATATCTTTCTCACATTATATCTGTAGGTTCTCCTTGGTCCATATAGTGTGCATGTTTCATTTTGAGACTGACTTGGAAGAACAAGACCGTTACCCAACAGCAATCTTCAGGGGCGTTTCTAGGATATTTGAAAGAGGGGGGGGCGTAGAAGCAAACCTTTGGACCTTTGGACCTTTGGACCTTTTTTTTGCTAAAAACTACGGATTACCCATCGGATGGGGGGAATCAGTATAAAAAGAAATCAGAGTATGTGTTTAACTAATGAATATGATAAATTGCCTTATTCAATACAATATTAGCAGATTACGATAGTTTTTTTTTGTTTTTTTTTTTTAAAAGGGGGGGGGGGGGGGCGTACACCAGTTGTTGATGTACAATAATGCTAAAAGAGTGTGTTGAATTTTATGAAAATTCTACACATACATATATATAGTATCGATTAACCGCTCAAATTTGATTTTCAACCAAGTCTAAAAATCAACATGGCCACCAGCAGCCATCTTGAATTTTGTTAAAAAGTTACTTGGTTTCCATGCAATAATTCTGGAAGGAATGCTTTGAGTTTCATGAAACTTTCTACAGATGCCTATAATATTGATAAAACACTTAAGTTTGATATACTGTAAGCAAGATTAATGCAATTAATTTCTTCATCATGTGTAAAATGAAATCAGCCATCATTTTACCAAAGTTGGGACAGGCGACACATCGGCTGCCGTGGAATTCTGGTATCAAAATTTGGCTCCTTTAAATATTTAGTTACCTACACATTTTTTGTTTGTATTATTGTGGTTTACCTTCTTCTGTAACCCATGAAAACATACTTTTCTAAATTTCAGCATGAGTTGGAGAAGCTGGATCCCCGTGGGAGGACTGCCTTACATCTTGCTGTCACGCTAGGACATATAGAGAGCACACGGGTATTGGTGCGATATGGAGCCTCGACGATGGCTGAAAACAAAGGCAACTGGTCAGGTACGCAGTGGAAAGTTATACTCACCTCTTTGATCTCTGACCATGATGATATCGTGAAGTAGCTCATATTATGCAAAGTGGAAACTTTGTGTGAATCCAGTGATCCTAGTCAATGCTTGATATAAAATCAACTTCATGTTTACGAGATTTCAGACAAGGTTAGGTACTGGAGTCCATATTATCATTTGTTTTTGGTCGGATTTGGAAATAAAAACAGTATATCATTTTATCTTTTGGAAATTATTTACATAGTTTTTGAGATACTTTTTCTCTCCTGATTCAACCGTATTTTAGATATTCATGTCACGCATATGTACTTCTGATAATCTAATAGCATTTAAAACAATTAACAAAATCACTGATGTGTGTTTTCTGACTGCATATCAGAGGTACAGGTACTAGTCAGTAGATTTCCCATTTATGAAGGACGTGAAATTTCACCTTAGACTAGGACGACAATGGCTTACAATTGATTTACCTTCATACCAGATATATACATGGCCCCTTAATTTACCATGTGACCACCACACTATCATGTGACTTCTGTTCAGGAAGCTTGTATCTCAAAAATGATGTAAAGAATATAAATAAATTTAGATTTCAGATGTAGCCACACAGTACCATACCTTATATATTATATATTAATCCTAGAAATTAAAGTTAAAATTCTTAACAAAGTTTAAAACGTACAAATCTGTAAATAAAGATATTTGTATATGCAGTGCTACATGAGGCAGTAAGCACAGGTGATCCAGAGTTGGTTCAACTGGTTCTCAAACACAGGGACTACCAGCGGTACAGCAAGAGGACCGTCGGCGTGCCGGAACTTTTACAGAAATTGAAGGAGGTAATAACATGTGTGAATATTTTATAAGGTTATAGTATTTAATTTGGAGACTCACATGACTCTAATGATTCAGTCTGTGGAAAAATTACGGAAAAAAGCTGCACATCGAGGCATATTTTTAAGATGAACTGACAATTCAATTTGGGGAATCAAGTCACCTCTAAATGATTCAGGCCACAGAAAAATGACTGAAAAAAACTCTTTCTTTCATATAATGATACAAAGCCGATATAACATTGCAGAAAAGATTTGGTTGGCATAGGACTGGTTTCACTATCACAGTTGTGGTATGATCATATCTACAGACAAACCCAAATATTTGTAAAAATAAAAATGGGAATATCTCACATATTGATCATGTCTGTCATACTTCTACATTTGGTACAATGGTAATAAAATATGATAGAGCTTATAAACAGTCAACTCTCACTAACAATAGTCAGACTTTATTACTTTACCTAGACTGAATCAGCAGAGGTCCTAATACTGTCATTTAGGTACAAAAAATAATAAAGTGAACTAAATTGGAGGTAGAATATCAAAAATGTAAATTGAATTTTATTTTCGTATTAAATTGCTTCACTTTAATTACCCGAAGTGTTGTTATTGCTGTAATGGTATTTTAACCCCAGGTTTATTTCAATATGAATCACAATGCCTTTAGTTGTACTGGTATAAAAACAAGAATAGTAATATTCTCCAGATGTGAAGTGCTTCTTTTCAAAATATTCGTATCTTCCTAGTGATGTATATACAGTGACATGTTGTTGACAGCTGATTATAGCGAGTCTATAATGAATTACACTAATTGATCTGGCTTTGTTTGCAGTCGTCCGATTTCTACGTGGAGATGAAGTGGGAATTCACCAGCTGGGGTTAGTAGACATGCTATGTCTCTATCAGAACCTACTTAGTATTTAAATCAGATTAGTAATGGTCAATACTGATCAGGTATTATAGATGACATGCCTTAATATAAGGGAATTGAACAACACTATGAGATTTTGTGAATGTTCATGTTGTATACACAGGAGATAGTTATTTATAAATAAATAGATGTAACTATAATAATACTAGATGCAGGCAAATTAAACCCACCCTTAGCTCCTATATCCTGAATTCCCCTTCAACAAACTTGTATAGCACACTATAGGCTCCCCAAATATCCTGTGAATAAGTTAATTATTGTAAAGTTTATGATTGTAACTGGAAAATGCATGGTCTTTAATACTCCTTTAACAAAAGGGCCGCTGGTCGTCCTTTTTTTCTATCAGATATAGTTTTGCCGGCTGCGATACGGCACTTGTCAAAAGTATCTCACCGTGTAAACCTCCAACACTGTTGGAGTAGGTCTTTAAGTGAGAATCACTGACTTTCCTTAGTTGATGAAAACCCCTTGAAATCCTGTTATCTATATCAGTGTTACAGGTTTATCTTTAAAATTGGTAGTATTTTTTCATAGATTTGTTTTCATTTAAAAATGAATTAAATTTTCGAAATTTATATGATAGCCTTGAATTTCAAAGACTAGGAGTTTTAGATTTGAGCTAGGTTTAATGTGACTATGGTGTCTGTTCTCAGTGCCTTTGGTGTCCCGAATGTGCCCGAGCGACACCTACCGAGTATGGAAAAGTGGTAAGTTCTACGGCCAGACATCTACCATACTTTAGACCTATCATGTACCTTATTTATATCAGTCTTTGAGATGAAAAGTTTTTTTTCAATATATTTGATAAATGAAATAAATACATGTACATTGAAAGCATCTGCCATGGGATTGTCCATGAGTTAAAAATACAAGTGTTGATTCAGATGTAGAGCTACAGAATAGCAAGCATGTTTTGAGTGTAATGATGTAATATCTAATAGATGACTGCTGTGAACCATAAAATTAGACTCGCTGTGGTGCTACATATTTATTTTATCTTCATTCTAAAGTTGTAGGGATTCTACTTTTTAACACGAAAGCAAAAATAAAATAATACTCAAAGTGTGGCATTTCAAAACAATTCAGAAAAAGATCAACTGTTATTAAAAATAGCATGCATCATGTAGAAAAGAATAATAAAATGAAGTGGCGATACTTTAGCCTTAATTCATTCACCCCTAAAATTTCATAATGAACTATTCCAACCTTTGAATTGGAAGGATTCAAATGTGTCTTCAGGGGTGCATGAGTTAATAAGTTCCTTGACAAATGTGTTAATATTTCAGGTTCCAATGTGAGGATAGACACAACCCTGCTAGGGTTTGACAATATGTCCTGGGAGAGAGGCAGTAGAAGTTACATATTTAAAGGAACAGGTAATGTACTTAACTACCCTTGTCCAAATGTCATCCCTGTTTCATTTCAGTAACCTATTCGGTACAGTGTGTATACACTCTCTATTGATGGGCGAAACGCCAAGGGTCAAGTGACAAAGGCGAAACGCCAAGGGTCAAGTGTCAAAGGCGTAATGCCAAGGGTCAAGTGACAAAGGCGTAGTGCCAAGGGTCAAGTGACAAAGGTGTAACACCAAGGGTCAAGTGACAAAGGCGAAACGCCAAGGGTCAAGTGACAAAGGCGAAATGCCAAGGGTCAAGTGACAAAGGTGTAACGCCAAGGGTCAAGTGACAAAGGTGTAACGCTAAGGGTCAAGTGACAAAGGTGTAATGCCAAGGGTCAAGTGACAAAGGCGAAACGCCAAGGGTCAAGTGACAAAGGCGAAACGCCAAGTGTCAAGTGACAAAGGCGAAACGCCAAGGGTCAAGTGACAAAGGCGAAACGCCAAGGGTCAAGTGACAAAGGCGTAACGCCAAGGGTCAAGTGACAAAGGCGTAACGCTAAGGGTCAAGTGACAAAGGTGTAATGCCAAGGGTCAAGTGACAAAGGCGAAACGCCAAGGGTCAAGTGACAAAGGCGAAACGCCAAGTGTCAAGTGACAAAGGCGAAACGCCAAGGGTCAAGTGACAAAGGCGTAACGCCAAGGGTCAAGTGACAAAGGTGTAACGCCAAGGGTCAAGTGACAAAGGTGTAACGCCAAGGGTCAAGTGACAAAGGTGTAACGCCAAGGGTCAAGTGACAAAGGCGTAACGCCAAGGGTCAAGTGACAAAGGAAATATACAATTTGATCACACCGCTGTGCAAGTAAATATTAAAAGGGACCAGTCGGTCTTGAAACGTTGCGACATGTTTAATATGTACAATTTTTGTGTATAAGGTATAACTTTGGTAGAACTTAACTACCCTTGCCCAAATGTCCCCGTTTCATTTGCTGAGTTTGACAAAATGATCTTGGAGAGAGACAGATCAGTCATTTAGGCAAATGAAATTTAAATAGCACTTGCTCAGAAATGAAATATACTGGTCCAAAATGTAGGAACCGTCCATGGAATAAGCCTTAATGTTATGGTCTTTCAACAGAAGGAACAGTTTTGTCTCTCATTATACTGTGAATATATTTACATTCAAAAAGAGAATGTTGCACTGATCTTGCCCACAGATCATATCAACTGACCTTAGGCCATTAGACTGATGTTTTTCTTGCCCTGTGAAATTGTGTGGTGAAGCTGTTTGTCTTTTTGTTTTTAGCTAACAGTGCTACCGTGATGGAGGTGGACCATGACAGAAGAGAAATTTTCTCTGAAACGATGCAGATCCTTCCCCCGAACTTTGATATATCAGTGATGAATCCCTCCGATGACTCAGTAGCGGCCCGCCTCACCAACCCTCTGGTCACCACCTTCGTCGACACAGAAAAGATATCCTTTGAGAGGTAACATCTAAACAGTTGTAGGACATGAGCTTCATCAGCTAGGGAAATGGTTCTTTTTCTTAGTTTGAACTAAACGATCATCAAGATAAAAAACATGGCAAAAACAAAACCTGAAATATAAATGGCCTACATACATACAAATTGACACCCAGAAACTAGTCTCTGAATGTTGTTATTATACCCTTGCTTTGACAACTTTCTTTAAGTTCCAAAATAATGGTTTCCGGAGCATATCTCAGCCACTGTTTCATGAATGGACATCAAAGTTTGTACAATGGTACATCATGGGAGGGCAGTTTGTCGCATCCTAAAACCAGGTCACTGTTACCTCATTTTGACATTTCACCTTGACCTAAAATACTAAAATAATGGTTTCCAGAGCATTTTTCAGCTGCTGTTTCATGAATGGGCATCAAACATTGTGTCTAGATACAATCTATATAGTAGGCACATCATGGGAAAATGGTGTGTTGCATCCTAAATCCAGGTCAATTTGACCTCGACCTCCAGTACTGAAATTACTGATTCCAGAACATATCCCTGCTGCTGTTTCTTGAATTGGCACCAAACATTGTGTATAGATATACCGGTACATCATTGGGAAGGTGGTGTGTTGCATCCTAAAACAAGGTCATTGTGGCCTCAATTCAACCTTTGACCTCGACCACAAGTCCTAAAGTACAATGTTATACAGGTTTCCCCAGCAGGTCTTAGTCACTGTTTATGAATGGGCTTCAAACTATGTAGATATGCGGTATCAGTGGGTATCCATGAAGCGCCCCACTTCAAGTTAAATCTAGATTTATTTTTGAAAGATTTTTGAAGTGTAATATTTTAGAAACCTATTCCCACATATTATCAATCTAGTTAGATGGGATTTATGTGTCACATCACCCAAGGATGTGAGATTCTAGATTTCCCAAAGTACATTTGTACAGTATTATAAAATCTGGTTTGATTTAAGACATTTGATGTTTTGAATTGATTGTTTCAGGAACAAGTCTGGTATCCTGGGCTGGAGAAGTGATAGAAGTGAGACTGTCAATGGCTACGAATCCAAGGTGAGTGAAAGTGAAATCAGCAGTGGTTATGGTAACATTTCATAGCTTTGTGTAAAAATAAACAAAAATAATAAAAATACTCATATTTCAGAATTTTGTAATACATGAAAATGTACCTTAGTAAATTTAGCTCCTGGTAGGCTGGTACTCATATCTGTCAATGAATTTCTGTATGTCGGGAAATTTTCGCTACAGTTTAACTTTCACCTTTTCCCCCGTCCGCAATGAGGGCGAATTTATCACCACAGTGTACACCACCAACAAGTACACATCTTACAAAACCTAGTAATAACATGTCAAGGGCGTAATTAACTCTGTGCGGAAACGAATTCTAGTGAAGGTCGAAAATTTGACTGGGCGAACATTTCCCAGCATACAGTAATTGATCTCCTTTTGATCATTATCCTTAATATGTTTGAATGCAAAGAAAAAGAACTCAAAATTATATTAAAAACATTCTCTGAGATTCCTATGTGAATAACTTGCATGGAAGTCAAGTGAACATTTGTCTGAAGGAAACAGTTAAAATGCCTGTTATTGAAATGTCCTCAATATGTTTCATCGACACCACTATCTGCTGATATTATGACCAGGTGTTTGGAGCGTCTAACGTGGAGTTAGTGACGAAGACGCGTGTTGAGCACCTGTCGGAACAGGACAAACAGAAATCCAAGAAGAACAATAAGACGCCCCTCGAGTCGTTCCTTGGGGTGGCTGAGGAGCAAAACAAGAAACAAGGAGCCTCAAATGGAGTAAGCATTATTTAACTTCATTTATTATCATCCCTCCTGGTCCACATGGCCAAATGAAACTATACATGTATTTTATTGAAACAAACTTCCCTCGTAAGCCAGATCATGTTAATTTGAGTAAGTATTTATACAGTGTAACAATACAGTACATTTCACTTAATATCACATCACTTAATATCACTTTTTGGTTATTATCATGTTTACTTGATGCACCGTTTTTTCCTGCTATATAATCTATGTAATTCAATTCTGTTATTATAACTTGTTTTGGTGTGGTTTTCGCTTAAAATCATTTTATTTTAGCCACTGTAACAAAAAGGTGAAATGTACTGTATCTGCAGGTCATTGATTTTGAAATGTCTATTTCAGGATGTGTCGTCCGTGATGTTTAACCCCAGTGCTATCACACCCGAGGAATACTTTAACTCCTTTATAGACTTAAGTGACCGAGATATTGGTCGTCCAATTGATCAAACGACAAAGACTCAGAAGTTTAAAGCCACACTATGGCTGTGTGAGAACTACCCCCTCTCCCTCCAGGAGCAGGTCGTTCCCATCATAGACCTTATGTCCTCTAGTAATGCACACTTTAGAAAACTCAGAGACTTTATAACGTTACAGTTACCGGCAGGATTTCCTATCAAAATCGGTAAGTTTCCATGTCATACTTACTGAAGTCTGGAATGTACAAAGTCTTAACAGAGCAATATAGAGGCATGTCATGGTATGATTATCATAGTATACCTGGTCACATATCCATTAGACCTTCTTTATGCTCAAACTGAGATGTTTTTGTTAAATTGCAATTAGGTATGTTGAATGAGGTTTTGAAAAGACAATGAAAACATTCTTTCAGGTTTTGATATCTTAAAATCTAGCACCTAGTGTAAAAATATTGAAGTACAGAATGTATTACATGTACAAACAAACAAAAAAGTCATTAATTGAAGTATTAAACATGTGAGGGAAACCGCTTGTGTTAAGATTGATTTCAACAACAAGGTATTTTATCCAAAACTGAATGATATTAAAACATTTTTACTTTGTTGACAGAGATTCCCCTGTTCCATGTGCTCAATGCAAGAATTACATTTGGTAACATCTCTGCAATGGATCAGCCTGTAGATGGGGTCACGCCTCTCAGGAGTGAGGATGAAACCAAGTGTAAATGTGTCGTGGAGGAATCATGTTTTGAACCTCCCAGTGGTTACATCAGGCTAGGTAAGGATAATTGTGACTATATCAAGATTTCATTTATTGCAGGATGACAGTGGAAAATATTACCCTGAGGGAATGCCTGATGGAATTGCAGTTTGAGTGACAGTGGATAAATTTATCTAAAATGGATAGCAGTACAGGTGACAGTTGATAACATTATCTTGGAGGTGACAGTAGATAATGTCACCTTGAAGCTATGGCAATGGAGGTGACAGTGGATAATGTCACACTGATAGGGTGATATCACTGTTAGTCATGGTAATGTTGGGTTACTGGTTAGCAGAATTGAAATTTCATTTATATAAATTATAATTATTTTTTCAAAGTTTATGTTAATGTGCATTCAGTACCCTCGGGGTGATTTTTTTGGTAGTCTAGACCACCAGAAAACATCACCCCTTGGGTTGGAGATTTCTCTGTCACACTCTCAGGGTAGGGGAAGATTATATTAGTTAAACAACTAACCCTGTATCTGTCATATCTAATAACATTACGGAGGAATGTTTAATAGCAATTTTGCCTTAAGTCCCGGACCTTTCATTAGGCACACATTTTATTATCTTTTTATCTTTTTTTATCTAAATACATGTACTGCATGTTAAATTTTCAATGTGTAATAGAGTGTACAGTTAGAATCATACATTAAGGTTTATTTGTCTTGTAGGTGTCAAAGCCGGTAATATATCAATATTGTTAATGATTTGTGTGGTATTTGTTAGTTCAATGTCTTTCATTATATTATATATATATATATATACATCAGAAAAAAGACGAGTTTCTGAGTGTAAATAGCTTGTGCACTGTGTATAATTTCGCTCACAAATATAAGCATTCCTGCAATAAATGTGATTGCCTGAGTTTCTGCATGTACAATTTTTAGCCCACCATCATCTGATGGTTGGCTATTCAAATCACCCTGCGTCCGTGGTCCATGGTCCGTTGTCCGTGGTCCGTGGTCCGTCCGTCCTTAAACAATTCTTGTTATCGGTATTTCTCAAGAAGTACCAGAGGGATCTTTCTCAATTTTTATATGTAGGTTGCCCTTGGTCCTAAGCTGTGCAGGGCAACTTTTGAGAATATTCGGATAAACAACATGGCCGACAGGCAGCAATCTTGGATTTTGAAAGTGAAAGTTTGTTATCGCTATTTCTCAGGAAATACTTGAGGGATCTTTCTCAAATTTTATATGTAGGTTCCCCTTGGTCCTTAGCTGTGCAGGGCAACTTTTGAGACTGATCGGATAAACAACATGGCTGACAGGCAGCCATCTTGGATTTTGATAGTGAAAGTTTGTTATCGCTATTTCTCCGGAAGTACCAGAGGGATCTTTCTCAAATTTTATATTTAGGTTCCCCTTGGTCCCTAACTGTGCAGTGCAACTTTTGAGACTGATCAGATAAACAACATGGCCGACAGGCAGCCATCTTGGATTTTGAAAGTGAAAGTTTGTTATCGCTATTTCTCGGAAAGTACCAGAGGGATCTTTCTCAAATTTTNCACTCGCCCAAAAAACAATGTTTGGGCCGGCCAATGCAGGTTCCCCACTATCCTTTATTGTTCATGTTTACTTTTGAAACTGATGAGTTAAACAAAATGGCCTACGGACAGCTATCTTCGATTTTTGACATTGAATGTTTGTTAGTACTATTTCTCAGGAATAACTTGAGGGATCTTTCTCAAATTTGATATGTAGGTTCCCCTTGATCCCTCATTGTGCATGTTATATTTTGAGACTGATCATAAAAACAAAATGGCTAAAGGAAGTACTAAACAGATCGATCTTTCTCATATTGCAATGATCGATTCTATTTATTTCACATTAGGTACTGTACTAGTAAATATGTGAAATGACAAACTCATTTTGAAGGTTGGCTTTCATACACATCAGCATTAACTTTAGATCAAAAGTTACATCAAGGTGCATTTACTGTTAACATGACTCGATCAAACAGATTAGAGGAAAGAAGAGAAAAGATCGAACTGACAAAGAACTAATGAAGATGGTACAATGGTGGGCGCCAAGATCCCCCTGGGATCTCTTGTTGTGATTGGATCATGATTTTCTTCCTTTCTATTTGAGCTCGCTTACCGAACTTGTCCAAACATGCTTAATAATGCCATCGCATGATGTTTGTCATCGAAATATTTCATTTTTTCATCCGTCTTAAAAACTTTTGGAACAAAGCTTAAAGTAAACAAGTGGGATTGAAGTCGTAAAGGAAAAAATGTTAATGTGCATTCATCAAATGAACCGATGGTTTACCCCATTATTACTGTGTTGTTTAGGAGATGGCGGAGGTCACCACGGCCGGCTACAGGATGAAGATGATGAACTCCTGCAGTTTGCCATACAACAGAGTTTGATTCAAACAGGAAATACAGAAAATGACCAGGTAATTAGCTAGTGTAGATTGGTAAATAAGTCCCCGACTCTAAAACTCAATACACAAATATCATTTCATTTCATGTTTAAAAGTATTGTGCATTATTACAAAACTACCTCTGCATGATTGATACTAAAAAGAATCGTTTTTTTTAATTATTTTTTTGTTAATTTATTTGTAGCTATGCACTTAGATATAGCTGGTACTTAATTTTCATCACAAGAAGCTAGACTAGATCTGTAGTGTATTAATGTTGCTCTTTGTCTGGTGTAGTAGGGTGTAGGAAGGGTATTATATCAGCCAATAAAAGTTAAATGGAAAATGTGTCTTGCTATCCTCCAACCATAACACCAAGGTCATTTGCCATAACTATGGTCTGTTCCATAATATTTTCCCAAAATTAGCAAAATATATGCCAAAACAAAAATAAGAATAAAACCATTTAAATACTGTGTCTTAATATATATGAAGCAGGTTTATTCATGAAAGAATTTGGCAAAGGCTGATAAAAATTCTGTAACATTTTTACTTGTGATTGACTTATGTACGGTCAAGGCCAAGGATTATCCCTGATGTTGAATGAAGAACATTTGTCTGGATTATTCCTGTTCTACATCTCTACTGAGTAGTCGGATTAATTCTTGTAAAATCATGGAAATGAATGTGCCTATTTTGTCGATTGATCACCTACCCCGGTATAAATGAAAATTCCCCCTACCCTGACCTCTGTTTATAGATATGATGTTTCCCCTACCCTGATTTTCTATTGTTTTATTTCTCCCTTCCCCCTGTTTATGATACCTTCACTGGACCATTCGTTTCATTTAAGTAAATTTACACTGCTTCCCTCTCATGTGTCATTAGATCCTTGTCATGTGTCATTAGATCCTTGTCATGTGTCATTAGATCCTTGTCATGTGTCATTAGATCCTTGTCATGTGTCATTAGATCCTTGTCATGTGTCATTAGATCCTTGTCATGTGTCATTAGATCCTTGTCATGTGTCATTAGATCCTTGTCATGTGTCATTAGATCCTTGTCATGTGTCATTAGATCCTTGTCATGTGTCATTAGATCCTTGTCATGTGTCATTAGATCCTTGTCATGTGTCATTAGGATAGTTGTTATGTTGTGTAACAGGACTCGAGTAATAGAAGTGTATTATGCTTTAATTCATTCACCCCTGAAATTCCATCATGAACTATACCAACCTTTGAATTGGAAGAGTTCAAATGTGTCTTCAGGGGTGAATGAGTTAATGCATAAATAGTTCATACAAATCTTATTTCAGCTGTACATATGAATGGTAACCTTAAGTCACTATTGTCTTTAAGTGATAGTAATGATTGAGCCTAGTGTTCTTATATCTGTAATCTTATTTAACTCATTCACCCCTGAAATGCAATAATGATCTATCCCAACCTTTGAATTGGAAGAGTTCAAATGTGTCTTCAGGGGTGAATTTGTCAAGGTGTTACTTTAAGCTGCACTCCTATTTTGTTGTAATGTCTTTATCTAGTTATCCCATTTTAGCACTCCACCATTAGTCCTATTTATCCATGTTTTTCAGAAGTGATCTATATTAAGCTTATGTTTGAGTGGTCTTATTTTAGCATTAGTCTTATTTTGGTACTTTGCACTTTGACTCTGGTGTGATATTTAACTTTATGCTCATTTTGTTCTAAGAAAGAAAATGCCATTGAGCTTATTTATATTATCACTGATATATTGATGTAAGGTTTGTTTGCTGAAAGTTTATTGTGCAAACACTACATACATTTATTGAATATTATTTTTTTGTGTTTTGATGCCCTAATTTAAGAATTTCATTTTAAGTTTCTTTTATTTGTTAAAAAAGAAATTCTGAATAAGACCGTATTCAATAGTGTGCAAATACATCAGGTAATTTGACACGGGTGCTAAGATGTAATTATGATAGTGTGGTACCAAGATACCATTACAACAGACTTGTATGCTATGATAGCATTAAGCTAGAAGTGGGAGATATTATATCATTATGCCAGACTTGGGCACAAAGAGATGATTTCTGCTAGAATTGTATGATTTGATGCCATGGCGTTGATAGCGCACTTGCCTTTCTCCAAGGCGACCAGGATTCGATTCCCCGATCAGGCGTGAAAAGGTTTGGGGTCACCTGCCCAATCACATGGGTTTTCTCCAGGCACTCCTGTTTCCTCCCACATTAAGATTCCCCACATAATAACATCCGGGCCAACAAGAGTGATTTATATAAGTTGAAATTACTTGTTGTAAAATAAATAGATTAGTTTATATATGTATATGCTGACCTAAGTCCTGAGATATGATTACTGGTATGCTAGGCTTGCGACAAGGACTCTCCATCCTTACTTACTCTCATGTGTAAACAATAGAACTTATCCAGAATGAAATACATTGAAGAATAAACTGATTTTAGGAATAAATAAATTAAAAAATAATATAACCTGATTTTAACTTGATTTTAACTTTCAAATTTTGATCCTGTGTTAAAACTATTCTAATTACCATCAGCTGAAAACATGTACAATTTGCACAGTAGATATTTAAATTGCCTAGGATTTCATTTATGTTGATAACATAAAGTCAGACCTGTGCTATAAGTAGTCAAATACAGGAGATCATGATGTTGGCTGCTTGAGACAGGTGACTGCTTAATCAAGGTTCAAGTAAATGCCATAATGAAAATTCAGAATTTGGCCAGCCAGTTTATAATGAGTGTTATAGTTTACACTCATATTTACAATGAGTGTTATAGTTTACAATGAGTGTTATAGTTTACAATGAGTGTTATAGTTTACTTCACAATGAGCAAAATTCCTTTACCAGTAAATCATGCCAATAAAAAACTTTAAAATATTCCTTTGCCAATACAAACCTGTACATAAATATATAGGATCTTAAATGAATATTCATTTCATATGAGATTTTATGAAATGAGTCTTAGGAGTTTTTATTTTTGCAAGCCTTGGCGAGCAAAATTTAAAACTTCGAGACGAGTTTCATAAAAGCTCATATGAAATGAAAACAAATTTAAGATGTTTTTTATCATATAACTCAGAAAACTTACATTTTGACAGGTTTTAAAGCAAAAATGTAGAGGGCTTAATCAAACGGAGACAGTCATTTTGTTGCGCCATTCACAATTTATGCCGTCACGTCATTGTCCATATTATGACCTCACAAACGATTTCTGACTGGCACAGCCAATGAAAAACGCTCCAGGGTACATTACACTAGTGACATATGTTAAATTATTACATGGGCGAATTCACTTGATAACAAGCCGATTTTGTGATAAAATGGTATCTCTTATAATATCAGATATATTTGTTAATTGTTTACTGTATATGTTTACATTTAAACACAACAGGATTATTCCTGACTGTCGTAGCAATATGCATACTGTCAAAACAACTAACCCGGTGTCTGTCATATCTAATACCATTACGGAGGAATGTTAGCAATTTTGCCTAAAGTCCCGGACCTTTCATTAGGCACACATTTTAGTATCTTTTCAAGGAAGGTTTTACCTACGTATCTAAATACATGTACTGCATGCTGAGTTTTCAATGTGTCACAGTCAGAATCATACATTAAGGTTTATTTGTCTTGTAGGTGTCAAAACCGGTAATATATCAATATTGTTAATGATTTGTGTGTTATTTGTTAGTTCAATGTCTTTCATTATATATATACACATCAGAAAAAAGGCGAGTTTCTGAGAGTAAATAGCTTGTGCACTGTGTATAATTTCGCTCACAAATATAAGCATTCCTGCAATGTATATGTGATTGCCTGAGTTTCTGCATGTACAATTTTCGTGATTGGATCATGAATTTCGTCCTTTCTATTTGTGCTCACTTCCAACTTGTCCAAACATGCTTAATATGCCATCGCATGATGTTTGTCATCGAAATATTTCATTTTTTCATCCTTCTAAAAACTTTTGAAACAAAGCTTAAAGTATACATGTGAAATTGAAGTTGAAAAAGAATAATTTTCGGAAATGTCAATATTGATGCTATCTAGCATCTGTTCATTTAGGATCTCCATTTAAGGACGTGCCTTCATGTGTGTAGTGTATGAGTGTTTGCGTGTGTGTATGGAGGAGACAGGGTATGTTGGTGTGCTTGCCTCCTTGTGATAGCGCAGATCTGATGCTGACCTTATAGTGCTATCTCACTGAAATACTATGCTGAAGGCACCCAGCACAGCATTCTGCCCAGTCACATTTTACTGACAAAGGGTGAAACAGTTGTTGCCATTCCCCTAAATGCTGAACGTTAAGCAGGGAATAACAACTACCATTTTTAAGAACTTGGTTATGTCTCGGCCTGGGGACAGAACCCATTGCCTTCCTCACCTGGGAGAACACTCAACATTGAGGCAAAAAGTGAGGTGTTGCCAAGCAAGGCCCTAGGAAATAAAAGGTAGTTAGAAGTAGAAAGAAAGATACAGATCCGAAATATTGCGATGAGTGCAGCAGATTTATTTTGGTCGTTTTTGTGTCCCCAAATAGAGGACACCAAAGCAAATCCCCAATTCTGCAGGGGGGGGGCCCGCATTAGTCGCCTCCTACAATACATGATGCGTGGGTAACAACAGGTGTATTCTTTTCCCGATCCCCCACCTGCAGGGACTAGCAGAGGCCACACTCATGGGTCACAATAGAGGCCTTTTTTTCTTATCATCTTTTATTCCTTCAGAGCTTTAATATCATTTGTAAGTGCTGGGTGATCAGGAAGGGAGATTTGTCAGAAGTATGAATGTCAGTGTTTTTAAATTTACATTTGTATCGTACTTTGTAATATGGTAATGGTAACCATAAAAGAGACAAAATAAGTTTTGAACTTTTCTAAGGACGGGTAGTAACTACCACATAGTCCATCAGAGAGTCAATCCTGCATTCGTGATTCAAGTTTGTTACATACAATGTATGTTGATTAGTATTTTAGATTTCAAAAACTTCTTCCTCAGAGCCATAAAGTCAAGGGCTTTGATATTCATTTTCTGACATGTTTTAGAAAAATAAATCAAGGACATGCACAATTATGAAAGACCAAAAATGATATTATAGACTGAAATGAATATTACTGAGATACATGTTTCAAGTTTTCTTTAGTTTTCATATAATTCAGCAATTGATGTAAATTGATGAGTGAGTGATACAGACCCCATAAACCTCTTGTGGTTTTGTTTTCATTTGCTCCTGTCTGCCTTTATACTGAAGAATGGCTGATTTTCTCTACAATATATTTTCTTAATCTTCCCTGTAAATTATGTTTAATATATGTACACTTGTATATAGATTTATCAATTCTGAAATTTTAAAATAATGTTAAACATGGAATTTGAATACAGCTCTGTGTCAGTTTAATTTTACAGAATGTCATTTTACATATAAAATTCAAAAGAACTGCTAAATACCAGGTGTACACAGTCAAAATGCAAATCACAGATTGTTAAATTTCAAAGTTAAAATATTAACACTTTTATGGTATGATTTTTTTTTATTGAGATCATTTTTTTTTAATTATCTTTCTTATGTTTTCTGTAAGAGATTTAAATATATATCATATGTTAATACAAAGTCATCTGCCAGTGTTTTGGGTGTTTTCATGGAATGAACTCAACATTTAACTTAAAAACATGAACCAGGTTCTCCAGTAAAACATGAACCAGGTTCTCCAGTAAAACATGAACCAGGTTCTCCAGTCTGAGCGCTGATTCAGAGTTTAGTTAAGACATTGACAATTCTCCAATTAATCCAGTCAATATCTTCACATCCCTTTAAATATTTACTGCCAATAATTAAAAAAGTTTTTTTTAAAAAGTACATATATACCTAATTACAGTCAAACTTCCATAAATCCGATTTTCATCAAATTTCTTGATGTGTCAGACTTACATCAAAGTCTGGATTTCTGGTCGAGTGCTATACCGACCTTTTGGCGCTCCATCGGTCGAGTGCTATACCCGCCTTTTGGCGTTCCACCGGTCGAGTGCTATACCCACCTTTTGGCGTTCCACCGGTCGAGTGCTTTACCCGCCTTTTGGCGTTTCACCAGTCGAGTGCTATACCCGCCTTTTGGCATTCAATGGAAGATATGGGAATCCAATTCAGCACCACTAGGGTTAAAAGACCCGAGGGATGGCTCAAAAGTAGCCTTTTAACATTGATGTTCTCTTAATAGGTTTTAATAAATTGTAAATGTGAATGTAAATGGGATGAAAAAATGGTGAACTCATAAGAAAGGGGATTCTCTGATAGGGGTGGTTTAGATTAAACAATGCTGTAAACATTCATTTTTTGTCGGTAATATTATTTCAGCACTTTTCGTGGAAATTCTGAAGCACAGAAATAGGATGACAACTTACTATAAGATCACCATATCGCTACATGCCAACCTATAGAAATCTATAGCACCAAACACTGGCTCATACAAATTGAAAATTGTTGCCAATATACAGAATTATGAGAGCACTAAACAAAGTCTGTTTACATTATTTAGTGGGACCTTATTAATCTACTGGTAGTGACAAAGATAATCTGGAGGTTAAGGAGAAACTTTCTTTGGCTTGTTAGGAAGTTAGAACAGATGTGACAGCTTCTATCCTAAATTTCTGAAAGCAGAACTTTTATTTTTTTGTACACTTTCTATGATAAACATTTTATTTCAATTAATAATATTTGAGGCAAGTAACATCATCAATAATATGCATCAGGCCAAAGAACTACAGTATCTGCCACTGAAATTTTATCAACCTAGAAAAAAGTGAATTTTTGAAGTTATCAAATTGTATAGACTTAAGAGGGCGTCTTTTGATGGGTTTTTTTAACAATGAAGGATTAAAAAACAAAAATTGCTTATCTGTGTATGTCTATTCATCTCCCGAAACCTGTAACCTGTCTAGATGCATTTAGAAATGATTTTTTTCTCACTTCTGTGATATATGACAGAACTGTCCAGGGCATCGAAGCGGTATAAGAAATTTCTAACTGACACCCCATTCAACAACGTCTTAACAAAATGAAATTGAAAACATTCTGATGCCTGTGTGGTGTTTTGTGGCTTCTTACCTTATTCTGGTGATTGGAATGAGAGACATAATTGTTCATGCCAAGGGATGTAGGATAGGGAAATTCTAACGTTGGGATTTTCAAATTGATGCTAAACTCTCGGCAAGCTTTGGGATTTTACTCAGTTTGAAAAGCCTTGGATGTAAATTTCCTATCACCTTTGTATACATCCCTGGGTATGAAAGAGTCTTATTACCATCACAGGCAGGCTAAACCTGACCGGGGCCTTTTATTTATGAAGCATTTCTTTCTCATGTAATTGTTATGTTAATTTTGTTTGTAGCAATTAACCTTCTGGGAGGCTCTGAATAACATACGCCCACCACCTCCAGGCACTGTGGGACCTGAAGAGGCAGACCAGCTCCTCCAGAAGTGAGTATAGTTGATTCAGGGTGATAGTCTGGACTCTTTTATTAGTGAATATAGTTGTATTCAGGGTGATAGTTGGGACTCTTCCATTTGTGAGTGTAGTTGTATTCAGGGTGATATTTTGGACTTTTTCATCAGTGATTAAACTTGTAGTGATAATTTGGACTTTTTCATCAGTGATTAAACTTGTAGTGATAATTTGGACTTTTCTGTTAGTAGTGATAATTTGGACTTTTTCAGCAGTGAATAAACTTGTAGTGATAATTTGGACTTTTCTGTTAGTAGTGATAATTTGGACTTTTTCATCAGTGATTAAACTTGTAGTGATAATTTGGACTTTTCGTTAGTGAATATAGTTGTATTCAGGGTGATAGTCAGGATTGTTCCATTAGTGAATATAGTTGTATTCAGGTTGATAATTTGGACTTTTTCATCAGTGAATAAACTTGTAGTGATAATTTGGACTTTTCGTTAGTGAATATAGTTGTAGTGATAATTTGGACTTTTCCGTTAGTAGTGATAATCTGGACTTTTCCGTTAGTAGTGATAATTTGGACTTTTCTGTTAGTAGTGATAATTTGGACTTTTCTGTTAGTGAATATAGTTGTAGTGATAATTTGGAATTTTCTGTTGGTGAATATAGTTGTATTCAGGGTTATAGTTGTTGTGACTCTCCCATTAGTGAGTTTGGTTGTATTTAGGGTGATACTGATAGTTGGAACTGTTCCATTAGTGAGTATGTATGTAGTCTCAGTGATAATTGGGACTCTGCCATTAGTGAGTGTGGCTTCGGTCAGGGTGACAGTTGGGACTCTTCCATTTAAAAGAATAGGTGAGGGTGGATGTGACCAGGGTGATAGTTGGAACACTTCCATAAGAGAGTGTGGGTTGTGTCAGGCTGATAGTTGGGACTCTGCCATTAGTTAATGTGAGTTTGGTCAGGGAGAGCGTTGGGACTCTGCCATTAGTTAGTGGGGGTTCGGTCAGGGTGATAGTTGGGTCTGCCATTAGTGAGTGTGAGTGTGGTCAGGGTGATAGTTGGGACTGCCACAATTGAGAGTGGGTTTGGTCAGGGTGATAGTTGGGACTCTGCCATTAGTGAGTGTGGGTTCGGTCAGGGTGATAGTTGGGGCTCTGCCATTAGTTAGTGTGAGTTTTGGTCAGGGTGATAGTTGGGACTAGGACTCTGCCATTAGTTAGTGTGAGTTTTGGTCAGGGTGATAGTTGGGACTGCCATTAGTGGGTGTGAGTTTGGTCAGGGTGATAGTTGGGACAGCCATCAGTGAGTGTGGGTTCGGTCAGGGCGATAGTTGGGACTCTGCCATTAGTTCGTGTGAGTTTGGTCAGGGTGATAGTTAGGACTCTGCCATAAGAGAGTGTGGGTTCGGTCAGGGTGATAGTGGGGACTGCCATTAGTGAGTATGGGTTCGGTCAGGGTGATAGTTGGGGCTGCCATTAGTGAGTGTGAGTTTGGTCAGGGTGATAGTTAGGACTCTGCCATTAGTTAGTGTGAGTTTGGTCAGGGGGATAGTTGGGACTCTGCCATAAGTGAGTGTGGGTTCGTTCAGGGTGATAGTTGGGACTGCCATCAGGGAGTGTGGGTTCGGTCAGGGTGATAGTTGGGACTCTGCCGTAAGTGAGTGTGGGTTCGGTCAGGCTGATAGTTGGGACTCTGCCATTAGTGAGTGTGTGTTGTGTCAGGCTGATAGTTGGGACTCTGCCATAAGTGAGGGTGGGTTCGGTCAGGGTGATAGTTGGGACTCTGCCGTAAGTGAGTGTGGGTTCGGTCAGGCTGATAGTTGGGACTCTGCCATCAGTTAATGTGAGTTTGGTCAGGGTGATAGTTGGGACAGCCATCAGTGAGTGTGGGTTCGGTCAGGGTGATAGTTGGGACTGCCATTAGTGAGTGTGAGTTTGGTCAGGGTGATAGTTGGGACTGCCATCAGTGAGTGTGGGTTCGGTCAGGGTGATAGTTGGGACTCTGCCATTAGTGAGTGTGAGTGTACTCTGGGTGTTAGTTGATACACCTCCATTAGTAAGTATGGTTGTGGTCAGGGTGACAGTTTGGAATTTCATTTCATTTCATAAAATTTTATTATTGAGTAAACAATAGGATTGAACAGCAGGCTAGGCCTATATAGGTTATCTCCTTAAGTTGACGTGACAAAACAAAGATGAAATGGTTAGTAAGAAAATATTGATGCAAATTATATATTATAAGTAGCATAAATCCCCAGTCTATATAGCAGATGGTATAGGGGAGATAAATCCATGTACAAATGTATGTTTCAATTATATATAAATATTTAATTGATATTTTGAGCTATACAATGCTCTTATTAAAAAGTCAATCAGAATTAATTAGTAATAGGCAAGCAATGCCCTAATGATATATTAAACAGAGAAATTATAATCTTCCATGAGTGAGTATGGGTGTGGTCAGGGTGACAGTTTGGAATATTCCATTAGTGAATATGAGTGAGGTCAGGGTGACAGTTTGGAATCTTCCATTAGTGAGTATGGGTGTGGACAGGGTGACAGTTTGGAATCTTCCATTAGTGAGTATGGGTGTGGTTAGGGTGACAATTTGGAATCTTCCATATTAGTGAGTATGGGTGTGGTTAGGGTGACATTTCGAATCTTCCATATTAGTGAGTATGGGTGTGGTCAGGGTGACAATTTGGAATCTTCCATATTAGTGAGTATGGTGAGTATGGGTGTGGACAGGATGACATTTGGAACACTTCCTTTCGTAAGTTTAGGTGTGGACTTCCTTTCGTAAGTTTAGGTGTGGTCAGAATAATAGTTGGGTTAGTGAATGTTAGGATAGTGGTATTGGTTCTGAGGAAGGTGACTAGAGCTAAGAGGTTAGGGTGTTGATGACACAAAACCATTAACGATGCTACTACCACAACCATTGGGCACTGGGACAGGCTAGGCGTGTAACCGAACTAGAAAATGTAGGTATTGAAATAATTCTGTTACTAAAATAAAGATCTTCAATACTATCCTTTATCTACCAACCCTACCCTATTTCTGTTCTTTTCTGTAAGTTAGGTCAACAGCCCTCTCCCATCTACCCTATTCTCTATAGAGTACTGGTATGAGGAGGAGCTACTCCAGGAATTGATTTAAGATTAAATCTTAATATATTGGTGCACAACTACCTGTAGTATATAACACAAGATATAACTATTTCTGATCAGCTAGTTCTCAGGTTTTGTTTTTATCGATCTATTAATAATATATTGCATAGTTTTATTATACCAGGAATCAATGGTTAATTATGATAATTCATGATACTTGAAACAATTTGTTTTTAATGGCATGAAATTATGACATAATATCTGCACTTAACTTAATCCAGAGCCATCGCAGAGAGTATAGCCTTGTCTGGTGGTCCATCCCCAGAGGATGGAGACCCTCCCATTGAGACACAACCGACACCACAAATTCTCAATGACCATGAAACACAGATGCGTGTGGCTCTCCAGCTCTCGCAGCGACAGCAGCAGGAGGACGATATCCGTCGGCGGCAGGAAGAGGAGGAGCTGGAAATGATTCTCAAGCTGTCACTCACCGAGAAGTGACGTACCATTGGACGATAGGACATATTTATCAAACATTAATGGCAGTGACTCACAACATCACCATGTTGTACAATGTGACAGTCATGTGACAATATTGTACATTATAGCACCACACACGGGGAAACATGACTTATGATAGAGAGAATGAAACGCCATGTTGTACACTGTGAGAAAGTCATGCTGTAGTGACCTGTGAGGTAACAGCCATGGTTGATTTTGCCAGCTTGCTTGAGAGTCTAAATTTGCCTCTGTATAAAAGGCAGGATATATATATATAGCCCTGCTTCATGCTATACCTGTCTTCAGAGACTGCCCTTCAAGCCAAGGTGGTCTCTCAAGTCAGTGGTATCACAAACCAGGTTGATGTTATATTGGAAATCTGGATTGACATGTAAACTAATCCTACAAAGTACTAGAAAGGTTGCCTGTGGCTGCATAATGAGGTCATTTGTGAATATCAAGGGAGGTAACTTGTGGCTAGAATAAAACTTCACCTGTGATTACAGGTAATTCACCAGTTACTGAAGTCACATTTATGTAGGGAAGGATACTTGTGGTTGAAAAATGATATTCAATGTATACAAATGGTAGTAGTTCATGATACAAAGGGAAGTTACTCATAGTTAAAATTATTACTCGGATACAAAAGGAGGTAATTTATGGATACAAAGGGAAATCATGGGTGCATGTAAGATGGATCGATGAAAGTTTGATAGTGTGTGCTACGAAAAATCAAAAGTGGATACAAAGGAAGTCAGCAATGGTTGAAAAGGTCATATGTGTATTGGATATATTTGTGTGGTTAACAAAATTATTCAAACTTTCTGTTAAGTATGAAAACATTTTATACCACACACAATAGAAGGTATACACATAACCTATACTGGTATCATTAGTGCTGAAAATGTGCTCCAATTTTTCTGCTTTTTAGCATACCATCAAATATGGAATAGATAAGACCTTTTCAGTAAATGGATACAGCTACATGTAGTTTATACTGCACTTGCAAATATTTCCACTTTCAAACATATTGATAAACTCACAAAGTAATTGCATACAAAAATTGTTCATAAAAAAGAGTATTGATTCTATGAGTTGGAAAGACGTTGCAAAACGTGGTTCAAAATAAGGATGTATAGCTGTTGTAGATCTACCCTTTGATACCTATCATAGACTCGGTTGCCACAAATTCATAAGATGAAAAAATGCCTTAGTCTTTGATGTCTTTGGAATAATAGGAAAAGTCATATTTGCATGAAGGCCAAACAAAACTATGTATGTTTCAGGTTACATGACTAAAAACAATAGGGTACATGACTAAAAACAATAGGGTAGGTCTGTCAGGATTTACTTTCATTAGGGGTGTAATTTAAGAAATTACAAAATTCATCAAACATATTTTTAGGTCTTTTAAATAATAACATGTGATCTGAATTTGGTTTTGATACCTTCCTATGAAGTAGAGAGGGTTTTTTTTCAATTAATTTGTTTGCAAATTTGTTTATTTTGTTATCCCAACACTGGATGCAGTGTGTTCGAGTGAGATAAAATTGTTAGGGTCAGAGGTAAAAACTGAGGTTAGTCTGGGGAACATGAAACATACATATATTTTGTTTGGCCTAACTAGACACCTTGCTATGTATAAAGGATATGACTGATGATTTGATTCCATCATTTCAACTTTCTCCTATACAGTACTAACGAATTCGCCCTGTGATGTATAAACATCCATATGTATAAGATCTGTAAATGCTTAAGAGACAAATGGCGAAATCAAAAGTTTGCAAATTAATTTCCAGAATTGACAGTAATTATACAGTAAATACTGTTTACCGGGAAACTTTTGCCCATTTCTGATCAAGTCCAAGTTCGCCCAGAGTTAATATCGCCCTTCACATGTAACTACTATATATTTCATGCTGTGTAATTTCGCTGCCATAATAAATTCGCCCTCATATTTATACTGCGGCGAAAAAATTCCCGGTATACAGTATATTAATTTGGAAAGTGTCTATTTCTAAAGTCATATTAACAATGTTTCATGGATTTTTAAGCAATAATATTTACCAGAAGTCAGGAGAAATCAGTTTGAATTGTTTAAGAGTTTAAAGTTCTTATGAGGTTCCTAAGTCTGATTGGTTGTAATGGTATAATGTAATTGTATTTTAACACCAACAATGAATTTTCTATAAAATCATTATTTTGTAGTGGTCTAAATTTTATATATTGTTTTCATCTGATTCATCCTTGTGTATTTTTGTGGTTTTGTCAAAACATGTGGCAGGAAAATGGGATGGAACATATTTCTGTGTACTTCCTGAACATTTACATAGAGTACTGTAGCTATGTGTGTTTTGTTTTGTTTTCTATTTCTCAAAATCGATGTTGGTATGTTTCCAGCTTTACCTCTTCAGTAAACCTTCCACATATACAGTCAAATTACTGATGTATCATTACAATTATTATTTTAGGATTTTGTATTAATTCCTCGAGTTTATTCCTAACCTTGCCACTATCGTAACTAGAATCAGACCACACTTTATTGTTGATTTCCTTGGTATACAAATCTGATTGCTCTGCAGTAAAATTTTGGTATAATCTGTAGTAATTACATTTGCTATATTTAGCTAGAATAACCTATCCTGTTTACCTTTGTTTTGACCTATAGATCTTTCATATGCATGTACTAGGTAAGAATCAACTGTCCTCTTGACCTTGGTATGTAAGTCTAACAACCTTCCTGTTAACCATTAATTAGTACACCTGGTATTCAACCTATCCTATTGAATTGGTATACTAAGTAGGTATGACCTATCCTGGTGAATTGGTAAACTAAGTAGGTAAAACCTGTTCTGTTGAATTGGTATACTAAGTAGGTACAACCTGTTCTGGTGAATTGGTATACTAAGTAGGTATGACCTATCCTGGTGAATTGGTAAACTAAGTAGGTACAACCTGTTCTGTTGGCCTTAGGTATACTGTACTAAGTCAGAATAACTATTCCGTAATACCTTTAATTTTGTTAGGACCTTTCCTGATAAAAACATTGATAAGTTAGTAAGAATTAGTTACCTACCTTGTTGACTCCTGTATACGACCTGTCATGTTGACCACCTTTCGGTATCAGAACGTCCTGTCCTGTTGGCCTTTGGTAAGATCAGAATGACCTGTTATATTGACTTTTGCATTTAAAATTCAAGTCTTCAAAGGTTGATTTTGAGAGATAAGAAATGATATACGATGCATATGTTTTGTATGGGGGTGGGTTACTATGTTGAAATTGGTTGATAATTGAAATAAGAATTGAAAACTTTGAAAATGTTTCCAGTGTTATCCTGTAAGGCACTGTGTGTCATTGTCACCGGCTGTAACATCCACTCAAACATAGGATGTTGATTTGTAAAAAGTGAACATAAAATGCAATTTAGTATCTCAATAGGTAATGTATGCTTGAGAGTCATGTATTTGTTTTTCGTCAGTAAGTGGTGTTTTTAGGATTTTATAAATAAAAAAAATCACAAAAATGAAATTCATTTCTACACAAGATGCTTCTGTTTGATGTTCAGTATAAATTTTGTTGCTATGCATGACTAATTTGCATCAATGAAATATTTTTGCCAATGATGCAACCATCTGAAAGAAGACATGGACTTCTGCTTGGCTTTTTTAGGTCACCTGAGACAAAGTCTCAAGTGACCTATTGCGATCGCCTTTTGTCCGTCGTCGTCCGTCGT